GGCAGTTGTTCCCATCTCCAGGACACTCTCTCGATCTGGCTGTGGAGGACCAGGAGGAGAAATATCTCTACACCTCCGTTAGTTCTGTCAGGAGCCTCCATCCTTCCCAGAGCCTGTGTGGGGACTGCCTGACTTTTGGGGTCTTGGAGGGTCTTGGGTTGGGTCAATGTTGACTTTTGGGGTCTTGGAGGGTCTTGGGTTGGGTCAACGTCGACTTTTGGGGTCTTGGAGGGTCTTTGGTCGGGTCAACGTTGGGCCTTGAGTTGACCCTGGTCGGGTTTTGGGGTCTCCAAGAAACTCGAGTGGGGTTTTGGGGTCTCGGAGGGCCTTGGGTTGGGTCAACGTTGGGTCTTGGGTCGACCCCAGTTGGGTTTTGGGGTCTTCAAGACCCTCCAGTTGAGTTTTGGGCTCTCCTTTGACCTTGGGTTGACCCCAGTTGAGTTTTGGGGTCTTGGAGGGTCTCGGGTCAACCCCAGTTCGGTTTTGGGGTCTTTAAGACTCTCCAGTTGAGTTTTGGGGTCTCCATTGACCTTGGGTTGACCCCAATTGGGTTTTGGGGTCTTTAAGACTCTCCAATTGGGTTTTGGGGTTTCCACTGACCTTGGGTTGACCCCAGTTGGGTTTTGGGGTCTCAAAGAGTCTCCAGTTGGGCTTTGGGGCCTTCAATGACCTTGGGTTAACCCCAATTGAGTTCTGGGGTCTCCAAGAGCCTCCAGTTGGGTTTTGGGGTCTCCACTGACCTTGGGTTGACCCCAGTTGGGTTTGGGGGTCTCCAAGAGCCTCCAGTTGAGTTTTGGGGTCTTGGATGACCTTGGGTTGAACCAACCTTGAGCTCTGGGGTTTCCATTGGCCTTGGCTTGACCCCACTTGAGTTTTGGAGTCTCCACCCCCACCCCTTCCCCCTTGGCCGACCCCGCCCTTGACTCCACCCCGGCAGCGTCTCTGTAGGCTCCGCCCCCCCGCCCCGCCGTGGGGGGCTCCGCCCTCCCCGGCCCGACCCCCCGATGACCCCGGGGGTCTCCACCCCCTGCGGCTCCACCCCAGGTAAGTTTCGGGAGGAGGGGTCTCCAACCCCCAAACCTGACCTCGGCCTTCAGGGTTGACGCCGACCTCAAGCCGGCGGCGTCTCCGTAGGCTCCACCCACTCGCCCTGCCCACCCTGGGTCGACCTCTCGACGACCTCGGGGGTCTCCACCTCCCGGGCCGTGACCCCAGGTAGGTTTGGGGGGGGGCTCCAAGCCCTGTTTGTTGACCCTCCGTTGACCTTGGGTTGACTTGGGAGTCTCCAAGATCTTGGGTTGACCCAACGTTGACTTTGGGGGTCTCTGTTGACCTTGGGTTGACTTGGGGGGGTCTCCAAGCCTTTGGGTCAACTTTTGGGGTCTCCGTTGACCTTGGGTTGAATTTGGGGGTCTCCAAGACCTTGAGTTGACTTTTGGGGTCTCCACTGACCTTGTTTTGACCCAACATTGACTCGGGGGATCTCCATTGACCTTGGGTTGACTTGGAGGGTCTTCATTGACCTTGGGTTGACTTTGGGGTGGTCTCCAAGACCTTGGGTTGACTTTGGGGGGTCTCCAAGCCTTTGGGTTGACCCAACCTTGACTTGGGGGGGTCTCCATTGACCTTGGGTCGACTTTTGGGGTCTCCATTGACTTTTGGGTTGACTTTGGGGGTCTCCAAGCCCTTGGGTTGACTTGGGGGGGAGTCTCCGTTGACCTCACCTTGACCCCACCTTGACCCCACCTTGACCCTTCCGGCCCAACCTCCACCTGCAAGCCCCGCCCCCCAACCGTCAACATCTTCCACATGTGTGACGCCTCCCCGTCGGTGGAGCTCCTCTGCCTGGTCACCGCCTTCGCCTCGCCCCCCGTCGAGGTCACCTGGTTGGCTGACGGCCACACCCTGGCGCTGGCCCCGCCCGCCGAGCTGCCCGCCCCCGACGAGGTGCCGGGAACCTTCCGGCTGCTCTCCCGGGTCAACGTGTCGCTGGAGGATTGGCAAGAGCGGAGCTTCTCGTGCCGCGTTGCCCACCCGGCCTCAGCCACCGTTCAAGAGGTCGCCGCCCACAAGTGTGTCGGTGAGTTGAGGGGGGCGGGGTTTGGGGGGGTGGGGGTCTAAGTTTGGGGGCTGGGGGGGTCTTTGACCACCGTGGGTTGACCCAATGTTGACTTTTGGGGTCTTTGTTGACCTTGGGTTGACTTTGAAGGTCTCCAAGACCTTGGGTTGACCCAACATTGACTTTGGGGTCTTTGTTGATCTCGGGTTGACTTTTGGGGTCTCCAACCCATTGGCTTGACCCAACCTTGATTTTCGGGGTCTCCAAGACCTTGGGTTGACCCAACCTTGACTTTGGGGTCTTTGCTGATCTTGGGTTGACTTTGAAGGTCTCCAAGACCTTTTCTTGACCCAACATTGACTTTGGGGGTCTCCATTGACCTTGGGTTGACTCTTGGTGTCTTCACTGACCGTTGGCTTGACCCAACCTTGACTTGGGAGACTCCATTGACCTTGGTTTGACTTTTGGGGTCTCCATTGACCTTGGTTTGACTTTTGGGGTCAACCTTGACTTTTGAGGTCTCCACTGACCTTGGGTTGACCCAACCTTGACTTGGGTGTCTCCATTGACCTTGGGTTGACCAACCTTGACTTTTGAGGTCTCCATTGACCTTGGGTTGACCCAATCTTGACTTGGGAGACTCCATTGACCTTGGGTTGACTCTTGGTGTCTTCATTGACCTTGGGTTGACCAACCTTGACTTTTGGGGTCTCCATTGACCTTGGGTTGACTTTTGGTGTCTTCATTGACCTTGGGTTGACCAACCTTGTCTTTTGGGATCTCCATTGACCTTGTCTTGCCCAACCCTTGACTTTGACCCTCTCCAACCTTCTCGCCTTGACTTTGGGGTCTCCATGGACCTCGGCTTGACCAACCCTTGACTTTTGGGATCTTCATTGACCTTCTCTTGCCCAACCCCTCGACTTCAACCCTCTCCAACCTTCCCACCTCTCCCTCTTCTGGCGGCTCCAGGCGGCTCCTCCTCCTCTCCCGGCGGCGTCGGCGTCTTCCTGGTAGGGCCGTCGCCGTCGTCGCTCTACGTGGTGCAGACCTGCTTGGCCACCAGCCTGCCCAGCGAGGAGGAGCTGACGGTGACGTGGAGCCGGAGCGGCGTCGGCGGGGGGAAGTTGAGGCCCCTCCCGCTGCAGTTGACGCCGCACGTCAACAGGATGTTCACCACTGCCAGCGAGTTGCCGGTGACGGTGGCGGATTGAGATAGCGGCAACGAGTTCACGTGCACGGTGACGCATGCTGAGATGCCAGCGCCGGTCGTCAAGAGGGTGAAGAGGAGGTCGGGTGAGGATGGAGTTTGGGGGGGAAAAAATTGGGGGGGAAGGGAAAAAGGGAGGAAAATTGGAAAAAAAAAAAAAAGGGAAAAAAATGGAAAAAATTCAAATTAAAAATTTAAAACAAAACAAAACAAAAAAAAGAAATATGAAAAAAATTCACCGAGAAAAAAAACGGGAAAAAATCGGAATTAAAAATGTGGAAAAAAAGGGAAAAAAATGGGAAAAACTAGGAAAAAAATCTGAAAAAAATTTGAATTAAAAAGGCGAAAAAAACCCCCGAAAAATGTGGAAAAAAACACGAAAAAAAAGGGGAACAAATGGGAAAAAATGGGAAAAAAATCTGAAAAAATCTGAATTAAAAATGCGAAAAAAAGAAAAATGCGGAAAAAAATGGGAAAAAAATAGGAAAAAACTGGGAACAAAATGGGAAAAAAAAGGGGAAAAAATGAGAAAAAACTGGGAAAAAAAATCTGAAAAAATCTGAATTAAAAAGGTGAAAAAACCCTGAAAAATGTGGAAAAAATACGAAAAAAAAGGGAAAAAATGGGAAAAAAAAGGGAAAAAATGGGGAAAAACTGGGAAAAAAATGGGGAAAAACTGGGAAAAAAATGGGGAAAAAATGGAAAAAAATGGGGAAGAAATAGGAAAAAACACTGGGAAAAAATGGGGAAAAATGGGAGAAAATGGGGGAAAAACGGGAAAAAACTGGGAAAAAACTGGGGAAAAAAAGGGAAAAAAATCTGAAAAAATTCCCACCTTATGATTTGATCCCAATTAATGAGTTTTTCCTGTTTTCCCAGGCCGGTGCCTCCCCCTCAGCGTGTTCCTGCTGCCCCCTCCCCCCGAGGAGGTGGCGGGTCCCAGCCCCACTCTGAGCCTGACCTGCCTCGTACGCGGCTTTTATCCCGAATCCATCGACGTCCAGTGGCAGAAGGGGCTGGAAAAGCTGGAATCGGGCATGGTGACGTCACCGGCGCGCCGGGAAAACCCAGGAATCCCGGGGAGGAGGGGCTGTTCTTCCTCTACTCCCGCCTGGAATTGCGGTGGGAAGAGTGGGAAAAAGGGGGAGCGGCCTTCGTCTGCACCACTGTGCACGAGGCGCTGCCCCTGCGCTTCGTCCAGCGCGCCCTCCACCCCCAGCCCGGTAATCAGTTAATTAGAGTCATTAATTAATTAATTGGGGCGATTTTCGGGCGATTTTTTTGGGGTTTTTGGGGTTTTTTTTGGGGAATTTCTGGGGGTTGGAATAAAGGCGATGATGTCAAAGATGGTGGATTTATGGTGGTTTGGAGGTTAATTATGTTAATTAAGTTAATTAGGTGTTAATTAGGGTCGATTTTTGGGAGGAGTTTTGACAATTTTGGGGCGATTTTTGGGGGGTTTTTTGGGGGAATTTCTGGGGGTTGGAATAAAGGCGACGATGTCAAAGATGGCGGATTTATGGTGATT